ATCAGCAAAACTAAAAGGCAACCAACAGAATGGGAGAAAATATTTGCAAATGACATATCAGAGAAAGGGTTAGTATCCAAAATCTATAAAGAACTTATCAAACTCAACACCCAAAAAAATAATCCAATGAAGAAATGGGCAAAAGACACAAATAGACACTTCTCCAAAGAAGACATCCAGATGGCCAACTGACACATGAAAAAGTGCTCAACATCACTCATCATCAGGGAAATACAAATCAAAACCACAATGAGATGCCACCTTATACCTGTCAGAATGGCTAACATCAACAACTCAGGCAACAACAGATGTTGGCGAGGATGAGGAGAAAGAGGATCTCTTTTTCATTGTTGGTGGGAATGCAAGCTGGTGCAGCCACTCTGGAAAACAGTATGGAGGTTCCTCAAAATAAAAATAGAACTACTCTTCAACTCAGCAATTGCACTATTAGGCATTTATCCAAGGGATACAGGGATGCTGTTTCGAAGGAACACATGCACCCCCATGTTTATAGCAGCACTATCAACAATAGCCAAAGTATGGAAAGAGCCCAAATGTCCATCGATGGATGAATGGATAAAGAACAAGTGGTATATGTATACAATGGAGTATTACTCGGCAATGGAAAAGAATGAACTCATGCCATTTGCAACTATGTGGATGGAACTGGAGGGTATTATGCTAAGTGAAATTAGTCAGAAAAAGACAAAAATCATATGATTTCACTCATATGAGGACTTTAAGAGACAAAACAGATGAACATAAGGGAAGGGAAACAAAAATAATATGAAAACGGGGATAAAACAGAAGAGACTCATAAATATGGGGAACAAACTGAGGGTTACTAGAGGGGGTGTGGGAGGGGGGATGGGCTAAATGGGTAAGGGGCACTTAGGAATCTACTCCTGAAATCATTGTTGCACTATATGCTAAGTAACTTGGATATAAATTTTAAAAAATAAAAAATGATATTCAGATTTTGTATTGATAATTCCATAAAACCTTTCAATGTCACATACGGATTTTTAACTTGTTTACTTTATATTTCCCCTTAACAGAATGAAAAACTAATTCTAGAGCATCAAGAAAAAGCCAACAGACTTCAAAGGCGTCTAAGTCAGGCAGAACAGAGGGCGGCTTCAGCTTCCCAGCAGGTAGGGAGCTTCCTCATTATCCCTGGTTAGTAAATAGTCTGAGTAGATCAAAGATAAGTAAAGTTCCTCAAAAGCTCCCAGAGAACTAGTAGTTTTATTTTTACTTGATTACACTGTTTAAAATTAGTCTTTTTAATGTTTGAGATTGAAATAATAAACTTTAAAAACAGAAATAAACATGGTCTCCTAAACTGACACCAAAATCTAGACCTCTGCTGCCAGATTGGTAGCCACTAGGCCTAAGCAGCTGTTTTAATTTAATTATTAAAATTAAAAAAATTACAATTTGAAAACCTCATTAACACTGGCTGGATTTCAGATGCTCCTATGTAACTATGGTTCTCATATTGGACAGCATAAATAGAACTCAATGATCACAAAAAGTTCTCTTGGACAGCACTGTTCTAGAATTTTGTTCTAAGCATGTATCACTGACAGATTTGTAAGTAGAAAACATCACTTTGAGTGTAATGCTTCAAACTGCAGCAACTTTGTTTTTATTGTAGTTTTAAATGGAAAATTTTACTTGGCCTATAGGTTACCTTCATTTAATGTGCATTTGTATATAACCATATAAATCTAAAATACTGTCTGAAAGTTATCCATTGGGAAATAGACTAGAAATGCAGAACATCAATAAAATACAAAGGGGTAATTACTCATAATTTATGCACATCATATAAAGGAAATGCACCATTTGTTCTAAAGTAGGATCAATAGTACCTCCTATTAGGAACAATGTGAGATCATTTAGTGATTATAAAGATAGGCTGGAAACCGTTTAGATAGATAGATGGATAGATATAGATAGGCAGAGAAACCAAGTTACTACATTATTAATTACATTTGTTTATAAAAACTGTTTCAATCAGGGGTGCCTGGGTGGCTCAGTCAGTTAAGCGTCCGACTTCAGCTCAGGTTTGATCTCATGGTTTGTGAGTTCGAGCCCCACATTGGGCTCTGTGCTGACAGCTCGGAGCCTGAAGCCTGCTTCGGATTCTGTGTCTCCCTCTCTCTGTTCCTCCCCACTGACTGACTCTCTCTCTCTCTCTCTCTCTCTCTGCTCAAGACAATGTAAAAAAATTTTAAAGCTGTTAACTCAAATTATATTATGTACAGATATTACAGCATTTCATAATAGTAAAGCAGCTCTAAATACTCATTGAATTCAGTTTATGTAGTGTGTATTTGACGTTTTTTTTTTATTACCATTTCTGTAGATTTATTTATGGCATGCATTTTAAGAAAATGCAGTAATTTGCCCTTCTGTTCTCCTCCCTCTCGAAAGTAATTAGAGGGGCGCCTGGGTGGCTCAGTCAGTTAAGCGTCTGACTTCGGCTCAGGTCATGATCTCACAGGTTGGATTCAGCCCGCTGTGGGTTCTCGTGTGACTGACTAGAGCCTGGAGCCTGCTCACGATCTGTGTCTCCCTCTCTGCCCCTTCTCTGCTCATGTCTCTCTCTCTGTCTCAAAAATAAATAAACATTAAAAAAAAAAAGTAATTAGAGCTTTACCAAATAAACTTATGAACTTACGAATGAATGTAGTAAGTTATTAATCATTCAAGAAACCATTGTTTTGGGTGTCCCGGGCAGTAACTTAAGAGTGGATGTTTTAGTGTCAGGCAAATAGCCTGGTGCCATTAAGTAGCCATGTGATTTGGGACAATTTCAACTTTTCTAAGCCTCAGTTTCTTCATGTTTGATGTAGTGTAATAACACCTCCCTTACAGAGTTATTGAAAGATCGAAAAGATTAACACATATAAACACTTAGTATAATCATTAAGTGGTAAGTATTTAGTTATATAAGAAATTAAATTTCTATATCACAGTCCTTAAATCTTCAAGTTTACCTTTTTTAAAGAATATGGTAAAGAAAATGCCTACTTAAAATTAACTACCTTAAGTTCTATAGTAAAAAGAGTACAGTTACAGAACCTTAACTGGATAATCCAGTTTGGCAGCTAGTTTAGTCTCCCTCCTGACAGAATTAAACCCAAACAGTACAACACTGATTTTTCTTCTGTGATTTAAACTCTCTAATGACAGACATTTCACCATTCTCTTTATGAGATTTTTTTTAATGTTATGTCAGTAACCACTTTACAGTTTTTTTCCTTAAGCTTTTCTCCTTCCATCCCATTTTCATTTGGAGATGAAAAGTAATCATTGAGCATTCTCCCCATCCACAGAAAGGAATTTATACCCTTGAATTAATTTTTGTTCTGTTTTAAATGAGTTCAAGTTATAAACTTCCTTTCTTTAGACATATTCGGCTTTTTAAATCTTTATCTTTGCTTTCTCTGGATTCTAATTTTCCCAGTTTCCCCTAAAAACTGGAAACTGCAATTAGAAAGACTACCCTGCTAAGGGCCTGATATTTAATGAAAGAAAGGAGTTGAAGAATTACTATTTCCTCTACTGTGTACATCATACTTACCAGTGCAGCCCAACGTCATGCACAAGCCCTGCATTGTACTGAACCCTCCATGTTCTAAATGTGCTATTCTGATGAACTTTTTCTGTACATTCTTCATCCATCTTTGGACTGTGGTTATATGTTCTAAATGTATCAGTCTAAACTAATGAAAGCCCTACTGTGTTCTCTTGACCATAAAATCAGCGTGGTGAAGCCTTTCTAAGCAAGAACACAAAACCTAAAAACTATGAAAAGAAATTAATAAATGTGAACCATGTAAAATTTCAAATATCTGCATTTTAAAAAACCATAGTCAATGAAAAATTGAGAAAAATATCTGCAATACATGTGACAAAAGCAGTATCTTTTATATAAAGAGTGACTAAGTCAACAAAAAGTACAATGTACAACAAAGAAAACATATTTGCAGAAAAGGGAAGACAGATGGCTTTTAAACATCTAAAAAGATACTCATCCTCATTCATAAGACAAATACAGGATTAAACCATAATTGCATACCATTTTTCACCATTTCATGATCATGTCAGATCATGAAGTTTGTTAATACATTAAGCTGGCACTTCTGTACATCACTGATATAAATGTGTATTGGTGCAGTCTCTTTGGAGCCCAGTTTGGCAGTATCTCTCAAAAATTGTAATGTATATATAACCTTTGACCCAGTCGTTCTATGAGTTTATTCTGCCCGTGGTGTACTTGCACCTTGGCAAGTCTGCAAGGAAACATGTAAAAATAGTAATTGCAACATTGCCTATAATTTTAATAGAGTCAAAGCCATCTAAATGCCCATCAATAGAAAGCCAGTTAAATTATGGAGTATCCATACCAGGAAAAGTTTGCCACTGTTAAGAAGAATAAAGTAGATCTCACACGGAGCTATTTGTAAGGTAGATCATTTAGAAGGAAAAAAAAAAAAGATAAAACGTATATATAGCCCTTTATCATTTTTTTAAATAAAAAGGCGTGAGGAAATACATCCATCTATTCTCATTTAGAATGTATTTCTAGGGGCGCCTGGGTGGCGCAGTCGGTTAAGCGTCCGACTTCAGCCAGGTCACGATCTCGCGGTCCGTGAGTTCGAGCCCCGCGTCGGGCTCTGGGCTGATGGCTCAGAGCCTGGAACCTGTTTCCGATTCTGTGTCTCCCTCTCTCTCTGCCCCTCCCCCGTTCATGCTCTGTCTCTCTCTGTCCCAAAAATAAATAAACGTGGGGGGGGGGGAAGAATGTATTTCTAGAAATAGAAAACGGAAGTAGTGGTTGTATCTGGTAAGAGGGCTATAGAATGAAGGACAGCAGTAAGAAGACTTTTTTATGATGTATGTACTCTTTTGTACTGTTAGATATCTTTCCAGGTGTGTATAATGTCAACTCCAGTTGATATTTAAAGACTATTTTCCTATTAGACCTTTCTTACTATGATTTATCATCCTCTCATTACCAACCTTGTATTGTGCTGGCTCACACTTAGTTTGTATTTTACCCACTTTTCTAATTAGCTTTTACGTAGATATTTTTCATTCATCTGTGAAATATGTTTTGGAATTCTAAGTACTGTATATCATTCTGAGCTATGGAATGCTGTATTTGACATGCATATCTCTAGTGTAATACAGGTATTTTAAAGACTCAAGAGTAAAATAGAAAGGAACACAAAAAATGACCTCTTCCAGGACCCCTTCCAGTCAGATTATTTGCAATAATTGTAAGTTGTGATGCATTATACTTTGTATTAGTGTAAGATTTTCCATAGAAAAAGTAACTACTTACTGATTGTCTATTTTAATTGCAGCTCAGTGTGATTACAGTGCAGAGAAGAAAAGCAGCCTCCATGATGAATCTGGAAAATATTTAAAAATATTCATAGTTCACTCTCAGAACTTTAGAATTGGGAAAACTGTTCGACTAGAAGTGTATTGAAATGGTAAAAACCCATAGAGAATGGTTAAGGCTTGTGTCGTTTTGCAGAAGCATTTTCCATTCTGTTTTGAGGGCTATGGAAAACAGAACAATGACAGCTTCCTGTAAGTAAAGAAAATATAACCGTATATTGAGCTTCAGTGGAGAATAAAGCCAGCTGAGAAGAATTCATTGCCTTCATCAACGTGTCTATTTTTTAATTCTCCCTTCCTTCCTTTGGAAAAGCATAATAATTTTTAAGCTATACTAATCATGAGAAAGACAATGCTAGAATTTTAATATTTCAGGTTCCATGATTTGAGAATTTTACACCTAATTGTTACTAACTCACTTTTTAAGTTCCCAAGTATCCATTTTATTATAAACTCATAAATGTAATAAATTATGCACTTTCTAAAATGATGCAGTCATGTATTTTAATGTATAATTGTAGTGATTCATTTTTAATTTACACGATTTCCAGTTTTTATCAAATATTTGTATTTAAGAATTTGGGAGGTTTTGTTTTTGTTTTGCTATTACTCAAAGCAGTACTAACAATAAATTCTGAGAATGCATGGGCATTGAATATTGCAGTATAGTTGATTTTCATAGGTCTAGTTGATTTTCATAGGTCCATGTAGTTACCTATTCTCTGCTTCTGGTTTGAACTTGGTACACCCTGCTTTCTGGTGATTACAGCACATGAGTTTGCATCTGGTTAACAAGTTAGGAAACTGCTGCAGTAGTCCAGATAAAGGATAATGAATTAAGTTTGAAGTGACATGAAAACATTCATGTGTAAATATTCACCCAGGCAGCCAGAAGCTTAGGACTGGCTCTAACAAACAGATAGAAATGGGGTCTTTGGCATGGTGCTGAGAATTGAAGCACCATGGGGTGTAGGAGCTTCCTTGGGACTTTATGGGATGTGGCTACCTCTTTCCGTCCATTTCTTTTGCTCTAGCTCTGATGGTGGCCTTCTTTTACTTCTGTCAACACATCATCCTTCCTCCCCACAGGATTTCTGTGTATACTTTGCCATCTGCACATTCTTCAGATCACTACTCAAATATCCCTGCCTCAGAGCCTTCCAGCCTCCAGACTAGATTAGGTCCCCTTGTACTTCTCGTAATAGTGTGCTGTATTTTTGATTCATAGCACTTGGGAAAATTTGTAATTAACTTTTTGAAATTTTTTAATATCCACTCCAACAGTCCGCAAACTCCTTGAGAGCAGGATTCATGTCTGCTCCCCTTCATTGTACCCTTAGTACTCAGCATAGTAGTTTCTGGCACACGCAGGGTATTCAATAACTGTTCAAATTCTGAAAAATAATTTTTAAGGACAGGACCTTAGAAGATATCTTCATTTGTTGAATGAGCTCAGGGAGAGGAGTCATTGAAGGAGATTAAATAGGAACAATGAGAGGGCTATAACCAAGAGAATCCAGTATGATTCTCTAAAGAAAACTAAAGGAGGGCCAGGACTAAAGGAGGGGACAAGTGGTTGCTAGTGTCAAATTCGGTGGCGATATGAAATAGTACAAGTATGATAGTTAAATGATAATTAGGCACTTAGCTTATTTTCATTTTCTAGGAATTTTTCATTTGATTCTCTAATGTGAATTCCTTCCTGTGTCACTCACAGAGTAATTTCCATGTTAAGAGTTATGTTCATATTCATGTTTATAGAATATAAAATTTATTCTTAAAAACTTTTAATTAAAGAAGATGTTAGAATTATACAAGAAAGATGAGACTGTAGGAGGAAGCACTTCAGAAATGAACATTATAGACAAATGGAATCTGATTATCATCCTTTCTCAAAAAGAAAATCGAACTTCCCAGACTCAGTTCCTCAAGGTAATCTTTCAGTGTAAGCACTTTCTCCAAACTTTGGCCATGGGCACCTACTCTTTACCTTTTAAAATCGATAACCGTCTCTCCAGTTGGATCTCCTTGAATACTTAGATATTCTCCAAGTAAAGGATAGGCTACTAGTCAGACAATAGGCCTTTCTTACCTCTGCTGAATTCGAACAGACTTGAGCTAGGTTTACCAACAGAACTGAACATGCGTGGTTATTTTTCTTTCAGAAAAGTTTGTTAGCTAATGATTTCAATGTAAAAATGTAGTGGAATTTTTGACATTTCTCATATTGGTCAGTCAGTCTTGCCTTCATTTACAGAGACATTATCATTTTTCTGTGAACTGTATTTTAGGCGATAGGGGAAATGAATAGGAAAGAGTGAAAAGAAATGATGTAAATCTGAAATTAAGGACAACACAGCTAGTTCATTTTATTTATTCATATTTCTTTATTTGTGTCTCCCTGAAGAAGAAAAGAGATATGATTACCTCTTCTTCCTTTTGTATACAAATATGCAAATTGGGGCAGCCAACAATCTTCTAATTTCTCCTCTGGTATGAGCACTGTAACTACCCCAAATATGGGAGAACATTAGCAACAATTCAGCCATTCGTTTATTCAGCAAATATGAATATTTCATAGCTACACAGTCTGCCAAGCCAACTCGCAGACAAATCAAGGAAGAATGAAAAAATACTTTAAACATTTTAGTATAAATTCTGTTCTTTAACCATAATGTATTTCATCAGTTTTTCCAGAATAGCAAATCTGTAATGGGCTTTTTTACAAACATTTTAATCAAAAATAATGATTAGGTTTTCTTAGTTTATTTAAAAATGTATATATACATATAGATATGTGCACAGTGAGGGGACAGACACTGAAATACCCCACTGTGATGTATGAAATCTGTCCCTCACCAGCCCTTAAAACATGTACAAATATGTGCCTTTCGAGCAGTGTTAACATTCTTAGTATTTATATAGAAACTAAACAAATATGTATATACTTAAAAAAAAACATAGGATGGGAAGGCATCTTTAAGGTATTTTTTTTTACAACACTGGCACCTACCCAGCTACCGAGAAAACAATCTACACTGAGTAAGTGGTTTTGTAGCCCAAGGGTTCACCACAAAACATGCACATGTGCCCCACATTCCGGTAGACACCCCCATGTACTAGCTCTAACACCACTCTCATTTCTTCCATTCAAGTATATTGGAATGTAAGCATGTGAGAATAACATTATGGAGCTAACTTTGTATTTTCTCTAGTTTCTTTCTAAATATACATTCTTAAAGTTCACTGCTTTATTTTTAGAGAACAGATTAGTGCTGTTACCCTGCACCTCTGTCTAAATGCACTGGGGCTGGAGGGGGTGGGGGTACTCTCCCTTGAGATGGGCCAGTCTACTTTCCAACAGTCTGACCATTAGTCTGACCTTCCTTACCTTACCTTAATGTGCCTTCCTGCCTTAGTTCTACTTTGTGCAACAGAGTAAGTCTAAACCATCTTACAAGTGGCAGGTCTTCAGCCTTTTGAAAATAATCTTCATGTTCTGCCTGCACGTAAGTAAACATCCCCATTTCCTCAGAGGAGTTGGTTTTGAGTCCTTTTGCCAGCCACCCACTGGTCTCTGAAAGTGCTCTGATTTTCACATATGCTTCTTCATTCATTCAGTAAATATTTATTGAGCACCTACTTTTTACACTAGGCATGCTTGGGATTTATCAGTCTTATGCCCAGAACCAAAAATTATATTCAAGGTGTAAAAAAACTACTCCCTTGTTCTGAATCATGACTGAGAGAGAGGTGGGAGAAGCGTGATACCTACCTAAGTGTGGGGGAAAAACATGTATTAGAACCTCCAGGGGATGGATGTGGTTCAAACCACATGCCCTTCCCCTTTTCCCAACCCCCAAAATAGTCTGACATGGTCTCTTATGGAAACATGCTTTGAGAGTTATTATAGTGATTCTTGGATATGTACCTGTAATTTCTCATTAGTATTTAGAATGAGAAAAAAATTATTCTACAATGTGTACTTCCATTAATGCCACTTAAAATCACGTTAGCTTTTTTGGAATTTGAATTTCAGTGTTGGAAATGTTGAGCATATTGTTAACTAAAATCTTCACGTCTTTTCCAAAGGTTTCGTTGCTGAGCTAAATCTTTGCTCCAGAAGCCAGACTGGTCGTTCATCCCTTTTAAATTTTATTATGTCATGACAGTGTGCTGAGGTCATTTTAGCTCCAATTCTGTCATCCAGTTTGTTACCTGTAAGCATAGGGACCATGTCTGCTTTATTTTTAGTGCTATGTTTCTTGCACCCATGACAACTTTTTATTTACGATGATGCCATCTATAGGTTTGGTAAACATACCACCCATATTTTCATGAAAATCATGAAAAAAAAAAAAGAACTAGACAGATGTGAGTGCAGTTGGTGTCTTAGAACACACCAGCTCCCAGCTCCCATAATGTATAATTAATCAGGATCATGGGGCCTGGTTATTCAGCCCATTTTTAATCTGGCCTGTTTGCTGCTTCTTCACCATCACAAAAACATCAAGAAATACCCACTCTTCTGTCCAGAGAAAGTTTGTTTATACTACAACTGTCATACTTCCCAGACCTCATCCAGTAATCCTATCCAAGAAGAAAATTTATTCCGATAGATTTCTTTTTAGTAAATCCATGTAGCTGCCTAGTAATCACTATTTTTTTAATGTTCATTTAAAACCCTTGAAGCCTTTAATATGGCATCATGGAACTTTTCGTTCAATATTTTCATCCTATTTTCAAAGAATAAAATCAGAGCAAAATATGTATACAAAGTCTGTTCGCACTTAGATTTGTAAATATTAAAAATGTGATACTAGTACCTCCTTTCATATAAACGGTAGGGGGATAAAAGAGAATGAGAAAAGTTTTGTTTCTACAAATAACCGAAAGAATACATTGGGGAATCTTTCCCTGGATCTACAATAATCATGATGATCTGTATGAATAATGTCTATTTATTGAGCACCTATCATATGTAAGACATTGTGCTGGCATTTTGCATTTATTACCTTATATA